CAAAACAAAGAATTTGGAGCCAGATTTAACATTCTTCCTTCAGCACTCCACCAGGGCGGGTATAAGAAAACACCTATAGCAGAACGGGTTTGTATATGTGGTAAAGGAGAAGTGGAAGATAATTCACATGTTCTATTACACTGCAAGCTATACAGAGCTTGTAAGTCTGCACATATTCTCCCCTTACTAGAGAGATTGCCAGGGAGGGCAGATAATCGGTTACCACATATGCAGTGGCAAAGTTCTGTGCTGCTGCAATGTCCATAAGAAAAAAATTGGCTACAGAAGTATAGTACCATCTTGTACTAATTATCTGGACATACCTCTAACAATCGTTGGATCATTATGTTATTATCCACTTTTAATGTAAATACTTGTTAATTATATTTTAATGTATTTTTTAATATAGTGTAAAAACTAATGTGTATTGCTGGTCTTTGACCGTAATAAAGATTTTACTTACTTATTTACTTACTTCCTTTCTCTCTTGAAAAAGTGAAATGGACAGATATTTTTTGTTATAAGATCTTAGCTAAAAATTTGGTTAAAACTTTTAATTTTTTTCTGAGGATTACCATACATGGAATTAGACAGAGGACCATATCGCTCTCTGGGTACCACAAATTGGCTAATCTTGGTCTGGACTTTGTTGTTAGTATCCTAACATTGTATCATACCAGGCCATTTAGCTGGAATTAGCTGCTATAATATAAAACAGTATGTTTTCTATTACTATTTCAGTCTTGTGTTATGAATACTATAATTTCACTAGTCTTAAATGCACTTGAGAAATAATGCACTGACCGCTTTGCAACATTTCCTCATGAAAATTATTCATTTTGCAGGATGGTAAGAAATTACCAACCAAATTAAGTAAAATATTGAGAAAATTGGATTGTATGCTATTCCTTTATTTCCTATCAACATTTGGTTCCTGCTGTTTGATCAGCAGCAACATGGATGATCATAGGCAGGGAAGTGGAAACTATGGACAGAAATATCTTAAACCAACAATTTATCTTTTTAGATATCTGTATATATCATAAGTACAGGTAGTCCTCAATTTATGACCACAACTAAGCTCCAAAACGTATGCTGTTAAGTTAGACATTTGTTAAATAAGCTTTGTCCCAATTAATAACCTTTCTTGCCACATTTTTTAAGTGAATTACTTAACAGTTATTATGTTAGTATGTTAGTAACACAGTTGTTAAGTAACACTGTCTTCCCACTGCCTTTGCTTGTCAGGTCATAAAAACATGATCTCGGGAAACTGTAGCTGTCATAAATATGAAGCACTTAGCATCCAATTTTGATCATGTGACCATGGGGATGCTGCAATGGTTATAAATATGAAAAATGGTCATAAGTCACTTTTTTCAGTATTGATGTAATGTTGAATGGTCACTCAATGAACTCTTGTGGGTCAAGGACTACCAGTACAGGATTTGTGTAGTGTAAGTACAAAGTGATGTCTTCGTGCCTCTAGAAATTAAATTGTGTTTGAACTATTTTCCTCATCTCTTTAAAATTAAGCATAGATATTGATATTACTGTTGTCCCATTTTACTAGAGCTCTTGTTTTAAAAACTGCTGGCATCTATAGAAACATAATCAGTGCAATAGTTCAGGATATAAAAACTGCGGAAAGACGATAGGTGAGAGAAAGGTGCGTTACCTTTTCAAGGAGTTATAGAATCAGAGATTTATTTACAGAAAAAACAGTGATACCATATCTGATACAGGAGTGATAAATACCTCTGCCAGAGAAAGAGAAACGAATGCAAAACTTAAAAAATATTAACTATACTTCCAATTTAAAAAAGCACAGTGCCTTACACCTGTGTGCAATTGCTGGGCATTTAGCTGCGTCAACCTTAAACGTAACGGAGCATATTTCCGTGGCAAAAAGGACTCGACCCCCATCGATTCCACTCGCTTTTAAGGTAGGCCTAGTGGCAGAACCGGAAGCAGGTGGCTTGTGACGTCGAGATTTTGGACCTAGTACGGAGTTTCTTCTGGTCGCCAGCCTCTTCGTTCCCTTCTGCCCAACCAATTGGCAATCGTAACTGTTTTGCTGCTGGCCGGGCAAGTCCTCCAGGTTCCCATGTTCTGTCCCAATTCGCGCGCGGGGGGGGGGGAGACCACCCACAATGCACCGGGCTTCTCCCGCCATTTTCTGTGGCACTGAAGGGTCATCTCGGGGACTGAGCCCTGGGGAGGAGGGCGGGGGCGCGGTTTCATAAAGCGGGGAAAGAAAAGCGTGGACTGACGGGAGTGTGGGGAGCAGCTATGATGGAAGTGGGCGAAGTCTCCGATACAGACAGCGATGAGACGATAGTTGAAGGGTGCGTGGTTGAGAGCGACCTGGAAGAAAAAGAGCTTGGTGCAAAAAGGTGACAGTGACTCACGTGGGGGTATAAGGCGACGCTTAAAAGGTGTCTGCAAAAGCGCTTTATTCATTCTTTACATTTACATTAACATCAACTTGGTGTCGCTTAAAGGCTGGCGTCCATCATTCCCAGAAAAGCGTGAGGGTAGATTTTGGCTCTGGTCGACGGGCGTTGTACATCAAATGCTTGGGCGTCTGCATTACTCTTGGAGGCGAGCTGCCAAATATTCTTAATATTTACAGCCCTAAACAAGGTTATGTCCAATATTTCGTCTCGGGAGAATTGCGAGTTCTGAAGTGTTTTGTACCAAAGCCGAGCGTGTAATAACTTTTTATGAAGCATTGTGCACATTATGCCTCCTCTTTATTAATTTCAATGTTGATGCTAATGGAATCCAACACTGGACAGCTCACAATATAGAAGCAGAAAATACAAATAAATAATGGAAATAGCAAAATAGACAAATAAAATAAAAATATACATTATCCAATACCTCTATCAAGCTTTTTTTCCATGTTCAAGGTTTTCATGGGCATAGCTAATGAAAACCCCTCCTATTTCTTAGTTTACGGGGACAAAGACTAGGTGACTGAGTTCAGGTGCGTGAGTAGAATATATTCTAGTGAGTATAAATACAGCATCACTGACTATTCATCATTATCTACAAGAGATTGTGGCAGTGAAATGAGGTCTAGAGCATTCATTTTTATTTCCACTGTTTGTATGTCTAAATCTCAAAACAGGACTTGGGAATTTAAAAAGAATGCTTCGTGCTAAGTATAAGATCTATGTATTAACTAGTCTGAGGGAAACATAAATATCATTTGGATAAGAGAAACCATGGGGTCAACAGGTAAAAATAACAGGTGTAACTTGATGGCTGAAGTCTTGCTCCTTTTTAAACTGCATTGTAAGCATCATACAAAACAACAAAATGTATGGGGTTATCATCTAGTTTTCCTGTCATTTTAATATTATTGATCTCCTCTAGATGTCCCCTAATTTGTTATTACCCTGATACGTATAATTAACAGTAGCACCAGGTAATTAATGAGGAAATATTAATTTCTTCAGTCTTTTTTTTGATAGAAAGCACAGTTGTTTTGGTCAAGATATAAATAGATGAGAAATCTGCTAACTGAAAAGTATAAAAGGATTCATTAATATATGTTTGTGAAATAGGACTTGTCAAGGCAGCACTTATTGACTGCTCTGGTGTTCTTACTGTTGTAGGAAGTTATCACCCAGCCCTCTCCCAGAAAAATGAAATATCCTAGGAAATATTGAAAAGGCAGAATATTTCTCTGGATGTGAAAAGGAAG